TTAATGAATTATTTGAGCCTTTCAAAACCAGGGGGTATAGCTCAGTGGTAGAGCATTTGACTGCAGATCAAGAGGTCCCCAGTTCAAATCTGTGTACCCCCTGCTGGCTCACACTCTGCATTCAGAGAAGCTGTGATCTCACTCCTTCATGTGGGGCTCAAACAACAGAAATATGTTCTCTTCCTGTGCAAACACACTGTTTTTATCAACAGTTCAGTGGACCGATGASACTCACCACAGCTTGTTTGTACGAGTTTGACAGAAGGCTGTGGACCCGGACCTGACCYTGCCGGACATCGCTCATATCAAACCACAGGTCGTGTGTTCGCTGGTCTTCAGGTCCGAAGCTCCTCCAGGTGTAGTACCTGTTGGAATCCTTTGTTTCAGACAAAACACAAAGAGGCAGCGTCACCGCCYTGAACATGTGGAAATCCTGTTGTTCAAAAAGCCTGGGAGAAAAAGGGAAATGTTTCTTTTCCAAAAGAGGGCCCTGTTTAACTCCAACTAAAACAAACAGGACAWGTTCCAAACCAGAATCAGGATCAACGCTTTAAACATTTACTGTCTGAGGAAATGGTGCGGCGCGGCGCTCACCACCACGTGTGTCACGTTGTCTGGCAGAGTGTTGATGGTTACTCCTCCACCCTGAGCTGCCCTGTTCGTCCTCCTCAGAGGAGACACTTTCTGGCCTCCGTCACCGGCGTTCAGCTGCTGTGGCGTCTCGCCATGCGAGTCATCTGCGAGGAGAGCTGGACATCGGTTTCATTGTTTTAGTCAGTTTGCGAGTAACAGAAAGCACAGAAAACATTTCAAAACCCTGTGGTTTTCAGACGATCGGCCTTGTGGGGAATTAAAACCTTTTTTTGAATGTGTCGATTTAAGACGTTGTTGAACGAAGGCAGAACCGAGACAAAAACATTTTGTCGGCTTTTTGAAACAAGTTGTCAAACCCCACAATCACAAGAAACCATATTTGGTAAGCAAACTGGGGTGGGTATGCTTTGTTTTTAAAGTTTCGTGTGTTTTAATTGATGGCCTGTCTCGTTTTCAAGCCACACATTCCTGGTTCCTGTTAGGTGTTTATGTTTCCACAATGATGTGATTTTTATAGCGCGTGGAAAATTCATGTCTGCTGGTTTATTTGTACTGATTATTTGATCTAAACCCGAAGACATCTTTGTTCTTACTCAACCTCTTTTTGATGTTGCTGTTCAGAAAAGACCTGATATTGTACTATGTGTTATTTTCAAGTTGATTTAACTGAAATAATAGGTTGTACTTAAAAGTATACAGGTGAAATATGAGTTGTCTAATTTATTATAGCATTTATTTTATATTATATTAAAAACTCACCAAAATTATTACAAATGAGTAACAGAATAAGGAATAGAAAAATAGGAGTTTACAAAAAAACATATCAGAAACTAAAACATTTATTTTTTTTACAAATGAATCGATTAAAACTTTATTAATTTTATAATTTTGAGCAACATTTTTTGACATAGCTGCATTTATAGTTGTTTTTCAGCTCTATATGTTAAACAGTTTTCAGTTCGATGTCGGTTTTATTATTTTAAAGATTCGCTTTTTTTCGTACGGGACACCGTAGTGACGTCACAACAAGCATATAAAAAGCCGAGTCTTCCGCGCGTCGCTTCAGTGGGGTAGTGTTGCTAACCGTATTTTGGTTCKTTTTTCCTGTACTTGTCGTTTGCTGTTTTGTTCCTGGCTTTCAGCAAACAACAGGAAGGGGTTGAAGGCACGGCTGAGCGAACTAAAAAAAAAAAAATGCCAGGGCCATTTCCCCATTAGGCTCAGTTTCCCCGTCCGAATCCCCGGGAACGTGTCGCCACCCGCGGTCAGCCTGGCTGCCGCAAAGAGTTCGTCTCTGTTTTGGCTCCGGGGTTTAAAAATCGGCAAATRTCTGAATCTGAGCAGATTAAAATCGAGCGAGGTGACCCGAACGGGCATGCAGTGGTCCGTGTAGGTAACCATGGCTCGAACACTTGCTGAATTTCTGGTCTTCTGTTTGTTCTCCTGGTCGTGCTAACCGGTGAAGCTAACGCTAACTAGCATCACTGGAAAGAAACTGGAGCAGCTAACATGGTACAGTTATAAATGGGAAGTTAAAACATTAATCTTAATGGGGTAGCTGGGAGTTAGCATTAATCTCTATTTAAAAAAATACCCATTAAAGTAATTTTTAGCTCAATAACCACTTTGATTTTTTTATTTATTTATAATTAATTTGTCTAAAACCCCAGCTTCTGCAAAAGAACCAGAATAACGACTTTGAGCTATTTCAAGACTTAACCATACTTTTAAAATACTTTTTTATAGCATAAGGTCACTTTTTGTTCCAACTCCCAGCATTTGTCCAAGTGAGGACAAAATGACATTTTACCCAGTCAGTCACATTAAATTAGGCTGTAGTTCAGCTTGTAATTGTGTGGAACGTGTTGTGAGTGAGCAGCTACCACCACATCAGATTTCTTATTAGTATCTGAAATCAAAATGTTTACTTTGGCTCATGATGACTGGCTTGGATGGATTTTCTTATTTCCACCAACCTCAGAYTGGGTTCTTACAGAAGCTCTTCTGRCAGTAAAATGTTGGTTCGATGCCTTGGATGTGAGCAGACCAGCTGTTCCCTGCTTGACCTCGGACAAGCCTCCAGACTGCGTGTGACGAGCTTTAAAAATCACTTTTCATGCAGACTACAGTCACCACTACAGTTTCAGACGTGTCTGAAGTGAGGGCACTGATGTGTTTGTGGTGTGAAACGTGGCGGTTCATGTAATATAAAACCAGCTGCAGATCTGTGTTGTTGTGGCGTCTGCTGGAGGGAAAGGCGACGTCTGCATGTTTGTTGCTGCAGCAGATAGTCTGGCTCATAAAAGATGGGAGGAGTGCACAAACTTAATATAAAGCTGGGGCTTAGATCTGCTGAGGTCATTGCGACACATCAAGGCAGAAAGTTTAGAAATAAGACAACTCACTCTCATCTCGTCCATCCCAAACATGGATAGTTTAAATGTAAAAAACAAATTTTCCTTTTTTAAAATTTATATACATTTTTCCTATTTGACTGCTTCTACATTATGCTATTTTYGCTGTTCATATCAAAACATTCAGCTCATTATTGGAAATATTGTTAAAATAATTGTACTTTCTCTGTTATTTTCTTAAGCTACTTCTTGTTACCCCTTTTGTTTGCTTTTAGCTCTCTTTTTGCTACATTTTACGTTTTATTATTTAGCACTGTGCTACTTTTAGATAGCCTTTAGCTCATTTTAGCTACCACTCTGCTGCTTTTAGGTAGYTTTTTACTCTTTAACTAACACTATGTAGCTTTTAGATGGACTTTTGATACTTTTGGTTTTTAGCCACTATTAAGCTATTAGCTAAACATCTGWACTCTTCTTCCTCTTTGAACTAGCWTTCTGCTTTTTTGCTTGACATTTGAAAAAAAAAAAGCTTTATTAGCTTAAAGCTAAAATTTGCAAGACRGCTTTTTAATTTTATCTAGCTCTGCTTTTAGTGTTGTGCTACTTTTAGCTATGCTACATTTAGGTAGTGTTTAATTCATTTTAGCCACTGTTCTGCTGCTTTTATCTAGCGTTTTGCTACTTTTAGCCAACCTACATGTAGCTTTATGTAAAGTTTTACTTTTAATTTTTAGCTACTATGCAGCTATTTGTATCTAAACATTTACTAATTTTTTACCTATTATTCTGCTGCTTTTAGCTGGATATTTGCTTTTAGCATATTGCTACTTTTAGCTAATGTTCTGCTACTTTCAGCATTTAGATAACTTGTAGCTTCAGCTACCATTCTGCTTTTTTTAGATTTTAGTTACTTTTGATATCTGTAACAACTCATGCAATTTGTTTGTGTTTAGCTAGGCCTTTGCTATCTTTAGCTTTTTGTTGATTTGTGTTTTAAGCTTGTGTTTTTATATTTATTTTTGAGCCATTAGTTTTACAGATTGCGAGGTAAAGATGCAACACGTGTTCATATGCCTTGGCCCTGAAACCTGCCCTCTGCCCACTMATTTAGGAGCTGCTGAAACTTAGCATTTAGCTGTTTTATTTTTTCAGAGCGTGGTGAGCTGAGTGTGGTCAGAGAGGACGCACCCTTCCTGAGCGGCGGCTGGTGGAGTTGGCATCAAGTCACAAACATCGGCCACAGTAAACTTCCAGGGTTCACGTCAGGGGCTGCAGCTCAAGTGATGCAAATCTGCGTTTTTTTTTTCTTCTTCTTTTTCACCAAAATAGATTCTGCCTCATTTCTGTCTGGACTTCAGCTAAATTACAGATTTAACTCAACCTTCTTCTTGCACTGGAGGCTGATGWTGTGTCCTTTGGGCAGTAAAATATCTCCACTTTTAGGCTAAGATTATTGAATGTTGTGGCTCTTTTGGTCCAATCATAAAAACAATATGTAAGAATAACTCTCAGCCACTGCTACATTAAATATTAGCTCATTATTAGTAAAACTGATAAAGTTTGCAGGTTGTTTTGGTTAATGTTCTGTAGCAGCCATCGGGCTAAAATAAAAGTAGCAGAACAGTAGCTTAAAGTAGAAAATTGCAAGCAAAAAAGTAAAAGTGTCAAATAACTAGCTAAAAGGCAAAACACTAGTTAAAATTAACAAAAGACTAACTAAATGTAGCAAAACTAGCTAAAATGTGAAAGCAGCAAAACTTAAAGCTGTACCTGGAAACTTGTAAACTTGTAGCTAAACTGTAAAAGAGTGGTTAAAATTAGCAATCTGCAAGCAAAACAGGGAAAATAGAAAACAGAAGCAGAACACCAGATAAAAGCAGCAAAAGACTAGCTAAACGTAGCAGAACTGTAGCTAAAATGGCAATCCTAAACCAAAAAAGGTTAAAGTAAGAAATGTTACATAAAAAGTTAAAGTAGCAAATAAATAGCAATAAGCTAAACTTGTTAAAATCAAACTAAAAGTTGCAAGTAGAAAAATGCTAGCTGAACTGTAAAAGTAGAACAGTAGTATTTTTAAAGTAGTGCACTGCAAGCAAAATGTTAAAAGTAGCAAATAACTAGCTGAAATAAGAAAAACACTTGATAAAAGTAGCAAAAGGTAGCTAAAAGTAGCAAAAGACTAGCCAAACGTAGCAGAACTGTAGCTAAAAGTAGCCATCCCAAGCAAAAAGTTAAAGTAGGAAACTTTACATAAAAAGGTAAAGTAGCAAATAATTAGCTATAAGCTAAAAGAAGCAAAACACTAGTTAAAAGCTAGCCAAAATTTGAAAGTAAAAAAACTAGGAGTAGAACAACGCTAGCTAAGCAGTAAAAGTTGTGGTATGGTAACTAAGCTAAAAGTTGCATTAGAAGAGCAGCAGCTGGTATTTGGATTTAGATTTCAGGCAGAACAAAGTTTTTGAAGGAACTGAAAAAATCTTAGTGCGTGAAAAATTTGAAAAAGCTAAAATAGCCTGAAGTATGTAGATGTTTTTAGATGGCAAAAAAGAAACAAATGTGAGCAAACTCAGTGTTTACACAATGAGACATTGGATGTTGGAGATACAGGAAAGAATAATTTAAATCTAATTAAAACCTAAAGTGTCTGGATGGTTTTCAGACTCTCAGATGAACAAACTTCTCAGACAAAAGGATCAAATCTTGAGGTCAAAACAAAGAAAAGTTTTCATTTTCAGCTGGAGGCGATTTGTTTCCACAGTCTGGTTCAGACGGTGTCGACGACTCTCTCAGGACTGAGGTCATTTCTCAAGAACCGGACTGTTTATGCTGCCGAACGCCAAAAGAGATAAGAAAATATCTGCAGAGAAATTAATTTGGGTGGATGCCGACAGCTGACCCCACGTCCTGCGCAGTCTGAGTGAATTTACAACTTTTCCCGTCTTAAATCACGTTTGGAATGAAAAACAAAACAAAACAATAAAAAAGCTAAACCTGCTGAAGGTTTAGTCCCAGCTGTAGCTGCGTGGCACGGGGACAAACAAGTCCAACTCTAAATTTAACCTGTGGGCTGCATGCTTGTGGGTTTGGGCATTTTTTATTGTAAACAAAACCGTTCACTTCTGCGTCAAACCCCGTTTATCACTTCATAAAGACCCGTTTAAACCCTTAGAGTCGAGCCAAACATCAGTAAGTTCATTCATCAGTGATCTGAAAGGAAACGATTAGCGACACCTTGTAGATGTAAGAATCAGAAAGAAAAGCGTTGACATAATAAAAGATTATAAATGAAACGCACCTGTTTGCTGCTCATTCCAAACAAGCTGAGAGGAACAGAGGAGAAGCAGAAAGGAGCCGAGCAGCATTTTAACCTGCAGACACTGGATGAAAAAAGAAAACAATCGCAGCGACGTCTCTGCYAGAACAAATCTGCTCCTCTCCAGCCGTGGACGTCTCTCTCTTCCTCACGTCACTTCACACACCACCCAGCCTCTAACTACACCCCTGCTCTCCTCCTCGGCGCTGCTCCTGGCTGTCATGGTGACGCCAACGACAAACGGATCGGCCGGAATCTGCAGTTTTTTTTTCTCGCCGAACAGCAGGTGTGGAGTTTCTCCCCTTCCTTCTGTCTGTGGGAGGACGAGAAGTCATTATTTACAATGTGCACTCTGAGCATTATGTTTAAATAAAACCAGCACTAATTGTTTTGCGTCAACCCCTGTTAGCAAAATAACTCCTGAGCTGCCGGACAGATTTTACAAAAATTTTCACTGAACAATCGTTAGATGAACGTCTGAGACTGATTAACTTTTGGAGTTACTCCAGTTTAAGATGTCAGCTGGCAAAGCATCAAAATGACAGAAAATTGGACACTTTCATTTGCATTTGCATTCAGTAAATGATGAAAATAAAAAAGACAAGAAAGAAACCAACTCTAGGAGAAATACACAATATTCTGCTAAAAGGAACTTCTTATAACATGTTTAGAACAGATTGATTGTGTCTTGTCAGCTACAAAAACAGTTCATTCTGAATTATTTTAAATGCAAGTATCGAGTCAACGACCCGCGTTTTATTCGGTGACAGTTCAGCGAAGGCAAATGTCTAAGCTCGGCTATAATTCACGTCAGGAATTTCCTGTTTATCTGTTTCCCAAATGTTTCCTTGATAATCTGCAGCAGGAGTTTAGTTTGTTTTATTACGCTAGCGCTGAAACATGTTTAAAGGTGTCGATCGTTTTGCACAAAAAATAAACAATTTCATACATAAAAATATTGAAGCATGGTTAAATTTTGAGGTGTTTTTTTTTTCAGTTTGAGGGATTTATGTCATGTCAAGGATTCAAGGAGACTTTATTGTCATTCGCATCACATGTGGTACATGGGGTGGAATGAAATTTGTACTCTCACGGTCCAGTTACACCCATAAGAAATTTACAATACAGATACAACAGATTAAAATAGAATAAAGTAAAAATAGATTGATAAATATACAAAATATAAGAGATATTTAAGGAAAGTTTGGAGCAGCAGATTATTGCACAGTGTCAGTGCAGTGTGGAGTTTAAAAGTCTTGTGGCAGCCAGAAGAGGTCAGTAAAGTCTGGATTAAGCAGGTTTGTTTCACAAATGTCTCATTTGGAAAAACTTAAGCGTGCATAATGAAATAAAGGATTAAATTATTTTGCACTTCAGATCAACAGTCCTTCTCAATCCTGTCTTACTGTTTCTGATTTTAAAGCTGAATGCAACACATTTACTATTTAATGTTTCTAATATGGCAGAAAGTGTTGACTCTCAGTGACCAATATATTTCTGATTTTTTTTTTTTCTAATTCAAAAGTTTGGTCTTGGCAGTAAAGTGTCAAACATCTAACATTTTAATAAGAAAAATGTATAAATCTTGTTCAAACCATGTAATTAAAATAGGAGGGGGATACCAAAATATATAAAAAAAATTAACACTGAAAATTAAATTATCTATTGTTACTAATAAATTTTGTGCTGTTGCAGTAAAACAGAAACCTGCTCGTTTTGTTTTAGCCTAAACGTCACTTAAACTCACGGAAGTTATAGCCTGGGTTAGCCTAGCATAGCTTAGCTTTAGCCTAATCGTCACTTAAACTCACGGAAGTTATGCCTAGCATAGCTTAGCTTAGCATAGGCTAAGTGCTTAGCCTAGCTTAGCTTAGCATTGGCTAAGTGCTTAGCCTAGAAGAGTTAATAAAAATAGAGCCTACCTTCACCTGGAGTACAAATCAACGTCACGGCTCTGAATTTTATTTTGAAACCACCGCTGTTAAAAACGTCTATCCGTCTTCAGTCACATAAAATGTATTTTGAAACGGCTAGTTCCTTTTTTGTATAAAAAAAACAACCTGAGAGGACACGCGGGGGTATAGCTCAGTGGTAGAGCATTTGACTGCAGATCAAGAGGTCTCCGGTTCAAATKCGGATGCCCCCTTTTCATTAACATTTTACTGTTCTGTTCTACATTATAAGGTACAAATGAATGAATGGAACTATATTGATATTTGTCTGAAATCTTATTTATAATGTAATTAAACGTGTCTGACACGTGTGAAAGGAAAGAGAAGCCTATAAAAACCTAAATAATTAATTTAAATAATTTAGTCTTGTTGACTTACTGCCTGAAGGAAAACCATTCTATAAATGTTTATTTCACATCGAACGAATGGGAATTAAAGTGCCATCGGTGTACTCTCTCCAGTCTTCATAATTAGTTTTTCTAAACAAATAAACATGACACAGATCAAATTTTCAATAAAAAATATTTATTCCCATAATTTACAGTATATACATTTGAAATAGGACTTGTTCTTAGCAGCAATATTGTCTTTCCTCATTTAGGAAATCACTTTAATATCCAAAATACAATCAAAGAGCTTTGATTAGGAAAAAAAAACAACAATATATAAATTAAATATTCTCTTAAATAATAAAATTAGACATATTCATCAACAGTTATAGTGTAAACATTTCAGTAAGAGGCTTGTTGTAAAACAAACGGCTACAAGAGAAGTTGCATTAAAAGTGGTTGATAGAGTAATAATGCCAATATTTGCTGGAGTGTTGTTTTCTTTTTCTGTCCCAGAAGCTTAAAGGTTCTGAATAAAGTCCTTTTTTTTTTCTTGGAAGGTGCTTTTATCTCACCAGAAACTGAGAAATMAAAGAATGCAAAAAAAGGAATCTGATATTTCTGGTCAGGTGGGACGTTTGAGCAGATTTCCAAATCGTTACCATAGCTGAGGTATAAAGAAACCATGAAAACCGGTCTTCAATAAAAAATGAACTAAAACATAGAGATCACTGAAACCTTCCAGGTGTTTGTTCACCCTGAGGCTGAGAGAAGTGACTCCCACACACCAGCTGTAAACACTGAGTTTAAAGACGCGTCCTCTTGGTTTGAGAGAGTCCGATCCTTCATCTCACTTCACCACAACCTTTGACCTCATCCAGTCCAGACTGGCAGGAAGACTGTCGGAACAGAAAGACAAGATGAGAAACGAAATGTAAGTTTTTTTTTTGTTTTCTGAATGAGTGACGTCAGAGTGACGTGAGGTATGTACTCACCCTTCTCCGGTGAGGGCGCAGCAGGGTTGAACATGCCAGGAGTGGGTTGTGATGGAGTCGAGAGTGAGGCACTGGGAGATCTCTGCCGCCGTCATGGAGCCCTTCACGTCTTGCTTATTGGCTAAAACCAGAACGGCCGCATTCTGAAGGTCCTACGTCCCAAAAACATAAAAATAAATTTAAAAAAAGAGGAACTTTTACAAGTTAAAGTCACAGAAAATAAAAATAAAAATAAAAAAAACCCAGCTGTGTCAGCGGATACTGACGCTGACTCAAATGGAAACTTCCTCATCGTGTTGTATCACGGGTTATTTAAGTGGTTTCACATTTAGGTCACAATGAGTCACACCTTGAAAGTGTTTTTTTTTAAAGATCACAACAAGAACTGACACCAGGGAAACTGCACAATCACAAAAGAATTTTACATCAAGCAGGTTGAAAGGCAACCAGGACTAGTTCTAACATTAGACGAAGACTGTAAAAATACTGTAGTTTAGTTTTCATACATTTTAAAAAGCATATTGTAGCAGTTATTTACACCGCTAACGTGTAAATGGTGACATTTACCAGGTGCTCCGGTGCAAACTCTTCCCAGCTTGAAGGTTAATTTTAGATAATTTCTTTACATTTTAAATGAAACCAGAGCGCGCTGACAAAGAGGAGAATATAGAAATGATTCAACCTGCAACAGACCTGCTGCATGGAAGAACCTCAGCTTTAGCCTGTTAGCTTTCATGTTAGCAAGCTAATACATACATTTATACAGTATATGGCAATATAGCATTAGCACACAAGCTAATACATATAAATAATAAAGTGATAAAGCATTTGTGCCCAAGCTAATACGTTTATAAATATGTAGATGGCAATATAGTAGAACCTGAGATAATTTATAAATTAAACATATATGGCGCTATAGCATTAGCACCCAAGCTAATACATATTTATGGCAATATAGCATTAGCACCCAAGCTAATACATATATATGGCGATATAGCATTAGCACCCAAGCTAATACATATATACGGCGATATAGCGTTAGCACCCAAGCTAATACATATATATGGTGATATAGCATTAGCACCCAAGCTAATACATATATAT